GAGTGAAATTTATATCCCTCTGCAACTGTTGTTGTCATAACTTTGTTCTAAAAATCAACTTTTTTTTTCTGGACGTCATATACCACTGAAAATCAATTGTTATATAATAAATTGGTTCAAATTACGCCTCATACAAAGGAATGTGTTTTAACTGCTTTGCACTTCAGTTCTGTCAATTATTTCCATGGTTACATCGTCAGCTGCCACTGTACATTGAGGAAGTGAGACAATTTGACAGCACAGCCATCACTTATTAGTCCCACAAAGATATTCATTGCTAACTTCTTCCTATTTCAGCACATTTACTCCCAGCAAGCTTCACTCTTGATTTGGTCTCAACTGGTGCACAAACCAACTCTCACCAACGTCCACAAATGCAGTCCAGAGTCTCTACCTCTATGAGGTCTACCTTCTCATCCTTAGATTGAATTTTATATCCAGTTCAAGGCGAGATTTAACAATTGGGTTATTTTAGACGTTGAGGGCTACAGGTTAGGATCAGCACAAGACATGTGAAAAATGAAGAGACAACACAGTGTGGAGCTGGACGAATACAGCAGGTCAGGCAGCATCAGAGGAGCAGAAAAGCTGACGTTTTCAGAATTCTCAGTTCTGAAGAAATGTCCTGACTCAAAATGTCGACTTTCCTATTCCTCTGATGTTGCCTGGCCTACTGTGTTCCTCCAGCTCCACACTGTGCTGTCTCTGACTCCAGCATCTGCAGTTCTTGCTATCTCTATGTAAAAATTGAAGTTTGTTATGCTCTCCCTTGAGATTGACCTTTGGGGTAGATCTTCTTTGGTGGATGCAATCTGTATCTGGAGATGAACTGCACAGATTTTCAGAAGTTACATTCTGCTTGTGCCTGAAAACTCAAACACATGTCAGGTGAATGTGAAAATCTGCAATAAAAACAGGAAGTGTGAGATTAACTCAACAGGTATTGCAGCATCTGTGCAGAGACAAACAGGATTAATGTTTCAAGTCCAATATCCATAAAATCTGGTTTTGGCCATGAGTACTAGGTTAGGTGTGTTAGGCAAGGGAAATGTAGGAGTAGGGGAGTGGGTCCGGGTGGCATCATCTACTTAGGGGCGGTGTGGACTTGTTGGGCCGAATGGCCTGTTTCCACACTGTAGGGATTCTATTCTATTCTATTCTATTCTACTATTTTACTGTGTAATTTTGTGTTTCACAGTAATGTGTATTCCTCAATATGTTTAAGAGTGGAGCAGTTATACAAGTACAGTGAAAATCCATCAATCAATCAAAAAACAAAAATTTTGTTCAGTGTGTCTAGTGTCCATTCAGAGTGTTTAATGTCTATAGAGTCATAGACTCATACAGCATAGAAACAGGCCCTTCAGCCCACCATGTCTATACTGACTAACAAACAACAAACTACATTAATTCCAATTACCTGCACTTCCCCCAACAGTGGGAGTGTCTGGTTGTAATCTAATTTTAAAACACTGAAAATTTTTTTCAAATATCTATACAGAGCCATTTACTGCATTCGTTGGTGCAGACTCGGTTTTATTGGCAAGTTTATTCTTTTTAAATATTAAATGTTTTTTATAAGGGGCCAGATAGATCGGATCATTGAATGCCTTTTGAAAATCCAATAATGCCATAGGCTCAAGTTCCCATTTATCTACCTTTCTCACTCCATCCTCAAAAATTTCTAACAAATTTATCAAGAACAATTCCTCTTTCATAAAACCACATTGACTCTGATTAAGTGGGGGTGGGTTTGGGTGGGATGCTCTTTGGATGGTCAGAGTGAACTCAATGGGCCAAATGGCCTGCTTCCACACAATAGGAATCCTATAATTCTAAGATTCTAATCATACTATAATTTTCTAAATAGACATGCACAGATTATTAACAGATTTCAGCAATTTCTAGACAAGGACTCCGACATTGAAATTATCTCTGGGTCCAGACCCTGCACTATACTGGTGCCTGTCATCCAATCCAGTTTTTGGGTGAAGGCCCACTATGTGATCAGGATGTATTAAGGCCATTTGAGACATCTCCCATGGCTTCAGGACAATGTAGACCCTCTGGCACTGAGAGAGCAGCAGACCCATCAATACCAATGTATGCTGCTGACGCAGGTAAGATAAACAGAGGGTCCCACAAGATGAAGGCAGACTCTCTGCACGTTTCAAATAATCAAATAACTCCCCTGTCACTGGGCAGTCCCTGCTCATAGCTCTGGTCATTTCTCACTCTGGGGGAGGGCTATTTAAAATGCAAAATGAACACTGGCACCACCCCCACCCTGGTCTGATGCCAAGAGGCCACCTCTCTTCATCAGTTGTGTTTTGAGCTCAGTAGTAGGGCCACAGGCCAACTGGAAAGTTCCCAAACCAGCTTCTATTTATCTGCCTTTACAGGCATGAATACTATCGCAAGAAGCTCCCACTGCTTAAGAGCAGGTTGGCATTCCTACCTTGAACAGCCTGCAGCAAAATGTGCTGGGGTGGTGCCAGTTCACTGATATGCCAGCTAATGGTAGGCCAAGTGCCTCCACCCACTTCCACCCTCAGGGTGTGAAATTCCTGCCCCAAGTTTCTGTAATGCCTACAAGATCAAGCCCATTTATCACTAATTGTGCCATTAATTTGACCATCTTATTATGAATATTCCACACATTTAAACATGTCCTTAATTTTAACTTTTACCATTTTCCCTGATTTGGCCTGATTCACTGATGCAATGTAACTGTTAAGCTATAGAGTCACTTCCTGTTACACGGTGTCTATCTGGATCAGTAGACCTTGGCTTTTCTCTAGATTTATACATTCCACCCCAACATGACCACTCTCCCCACTACCCCGCTGAGTTAAAAGCCCAATTTGTCCTCAATCTGTTACCCAATTTCAAGTGAAATGCATTGAAAAATTCAGTACAATCTCATGGAAACTCTGAGACCTTGTATTCAACCTCTGTGCTGCTCTTCAAATCAGCAAAACCTTAAGTGACCTGAATCTGAACCACTCCTTCCTAATATATCTTAAAAGAATAGTAGTTTCAAGTTGTAGGCCAGAAACCACAAGGGAGAACTTCACAGAGCCTGCAAAGTCAATTGGCAGCAAAATAGCTCTACAGAGGCCAGTATCCTGTCACCAAGTAACCCTTTATTTCCATGTGGAAAGGCCCTGACTTCAGTACTGCCTCATTCAGAATCTAGTACCAGAGCATCAGTATCATTGAGGCTTACCATTTTTATATGTCAGCCAGAGCTACCTGATTGGACCAGATTAACAGCCCCCATTCAGGGAAGTCATATTCTATAAGGTCCAGCTGTCTGACCTTGTTACAATCACTACAGACAGGAGCTGAAATTTTGCCTTCCCTGGTAGTGGGGTCAAATTTGGAGTATCAGTCAGAGCCATGTTATTGATGGGTTAGGCCTCATGCCATTCTGTGGCGGCTTCCTACTAGTAACAATTTGCATGCCATGAACTTTCATTTATGTAAATATGTCTGGCCCTTAAAATCAGGTCAGCAGAGCCCAAGAAGGTCAGCACACCTGGTCTACATTGATTTAAAGGTGCCATGCACAAGTTGCTTCCTACAGTTATGTCTGTAGTCATCAATTTTCCTGATTGAACATTGTGGCACCTGGGAGGGGCTCAGGAGAATGGCAGCTTCCATGGATGTTCAATAGTGGCAAGGATATGAGTCAGTGGGTGAGGGCAACAGGGGCAGAGAGCGTTAAAGGCCATGATGGAGCAGAAAAGGGATCCAAGGGAGGAGAGGGGATGAAGTTAGGGGATGGGGTATGGCATTCCTTATATCCCTAGAGGGCTGGGGTGAATCAACTGCACTCATTAGACTCTGTAGGATCAACCAGTTGCATTTGCCAATCACAAAGGTTTTCGCTCTTTGAGCATGCAAATGGTCTTTGACTGCAGGTGAAGTATCACACAGAGCAGTTCTTGTTTCACAGGGAGTTCCTCAAAATCATTACCTCATGAAACCCACAGATCTCAGAGCCTTGTGAGGCTCCAGACCAGCTCAAACCTGGCTTACAAGAGGTTTACCATAGTAAACACGGTTGATGACATCAGTCAGGCATCCCTGGGGAGCAGCAAAAGAGTGACTCAAGGTCATTTTCCAAATAGATTCATTACTAATGTTGCCATTGACACATTAAAAATGAGCTTTTACTGCCTTGATCGCTTTGGAAGGACTCCGCAGACCCTTACACAGAGGGGATCCCAAATAACTGAGTTCTGCTACGTACTGCACAGTCCACTATGCAACTGGGACATCTTACAACAGGGCAAGCGCACAGAACTCCACTCCTGCTCAGATGAGGCTGAATTGTATGGACCTGAGGCGGAGGCCACGAATGTACTGGAATATCTGTGTCAACCTTATATTGGCACGATTTGCTCAAGAGTGAGGCACCACCATGAACATTGCCCTATTTCCAGAACTCCAATACCTTTTTGGGATGTAGACCTATTCAAATCATCCTATCACACACAACCAAAAGGATTTTATTCCTACCACTAAATCACCTGTGGTACCTATTATCCACCAGCAATAATCACCCATGTTTCCAATTAATCAAATTATATGCAAAGTCTATTAAGGGCAATGCAATAACACCAAAGCTGAGGGAATGAGTGAGAGGATTAGATCAAAATGGAGTTGGAGTTGGAGTTAAAGTGCTCCATCCCTGTGGTGCATTAATTGGTTAATATTGATATTTTCTACTCAACCTGTTCAGTAATATTATGACACATCTCTGGAGAAGGTGGAATGTCTTGAACCCAGGTCTCCAGGCTCAGAGATAGGGACACCATAACATCACCCTTAACTAATTGCTTAATATTGATATTTTCTAATCAACCTGTTCAGAATTGTTATTACACACCACTGGGGCAGGTGGGACTTGAACCCAGGTAATTACTTAATATTAGCTCAGGCCCTTAAAACTGACACAAGTGATCAATCAGCTGTGAAGATCTGTAGGCAGGGCATCAGCCAGCAAGTAAAGAGAGCTAAATTCTTTTCAATTAGAATGTAAGTTTATTTAAGTTGAACAAAATGTCTCTGATTGCCTTAATTGAAAACTAAGTAAGTAAAAGTCTTGAGCTGGAATCCAAGATTAGTGCAGTGAGGTACAGAAACCTAAAAGGCTGGAATATTCTGTTCCTGACAACTGACAACTGACAACTGACAACTGACAACTGACAACTGAAGTTGTTGAATTTCCTGATTTGTCCCTGGCCAGCCCATAGACTCACTGCTAGCCATCTTTTGTATTTAATATCCTGGTGTAAGATAGATATGATACTCTGGTGAAATGCATTTGGTATTAGAACATCTTTCCCCTTACTACTTCATTTTCTAACATTTTTCCCCTAAGGACTTGTGCTGAAGAATCTGTGCCTAGGTAATTTTGTACCTCAGATTGTGCTGTAAGTGGTGACTTATAAGCTTTTCACTGTACTTGTGAGTACATGGGACAATAAAGCTAATTCAATTCAAAATAGCTTGTTGTGATACACTAACTTTGTCATTGTAAGGCTAAAATGAACAAGTGTTATCAGGGCCTTCTTTAAGGTTATCAGGTTTTTCCAGGATAATTGCCTTCTTTAAACAAAAAAAAACAAAGCACTCTGGAAACTAGGAAATCAAAAACAAATTGCTGGAAAACCTCATCAAGTCTGGCAGCTTCAGTTCTGAAGAAGGGTCAGTGGACCTGAGAAGTTAACTCTGCTTTCTCTCAACAGATGCTGGCAGACCTGATGAGTTTTCTGGCAATTTTTGATCTTTTTTTAACTCTTGTAGTTTCATGTATTTAGCAGTTGCCAATTGCAACTCTTCACACTGGCTCTGCCAAAGTGTAACAGATCAAACTTGAGAAAGTCTTCATCTTCATTGTCTGAAGCATGAATATATCCATCTAGAGGAATATCTTGGGCTTTACCTGGGTAAGTTTTAATCCGATTAGGGTTAGAAACAGGGTTTCTGACTCTGATCAGAATATTTGGGCTAATGTCTTATACTTGCTATTGGCTAACACACATGACAGGAATTTTGAAACAATGACAATAGAGATCTTTGTCTTGCAAACAAGACACACTTAGGCCTTTCCATGATGGATTCAGTTTGAGAATCACCATCCTGGAGTCATGGCATTACATAAGGCAAGATTTTGTTGACAGGACCTGCCGAGGGAATCAAAGGCATGTTGGCAATCATTTTTCCACAGAAAATCAATCATGATTTAGTTGGGACTGAATTGCTTTTCCTGTACCCATATCCAATGATTGTAAAATGCATTTTATAGAATAGGGTACACAACTTAAATGATTTTACAGGGATTGTTGAGGTTGTATGGTTTTAATAAAGCTTGCAACAGTAATCCTATCACTAACAATCAAATAGTTGATCCAATTCTTCAAACAACACTAAGAAGGAAAACAATTAGGCTTTTATATAGCATCAGAGTGTTGTACCATGAATCTGTTGGTACTTATTTATTCAAACGAGACATTTTGTAAGGTCTGAGAGTGTCGTAATTGAAAACTGTCCTTTCAGTCCTCATATGTGGTAATTCTAAGCTCACGGTGTTAAAGGGAAGGAAATGACTATTTAGAGACTGCATTCCAGAAGCAGGGCCGCTGAAGTAAAGATCTGAGTGTGGAACGTGGAGCTGTTAGAAAAATGAGTATCACCTTCCTCTTGCCCATTGTTTTCCTATCAGGTAAGAAAGTAATGGTGTTTGGATTTTTGGGAGGTTTGGAATTGTCTTGCTGCATCAGTCTACCGGAAATGTTATCGGCTGAAATCCTCGTGATGTTGAGGCAGCCGCTGAGAAATGTATTTTGCTTATCAAAAGTGGTTCCCTTTTAAGATCAACAAATGATTGTCTTTAGGGAAAAAGTTTTAAAATGTCTCCTATTTTGGGTATGAACATTACAATGGAATCTTATTTTCACAAACTGAAATCTCCTGCTTTATGACTTATTTACTTTTAGTTTTTGTTAATGTGAAACCAGAACTTTAAAACCGGTTGAGGCGAATTTTCTGGTCAGACAGATTATTTTACTGCTTGTGCTGAATTTGTAATAATGCGATTTCAACACCAGCTTTAATTTCTGGGTTTGAAGCAATTTATATTGACTGACTTGTGCAATTAGTCATAAGGTTTCAGTTCGTATGAGAGATACCAACTAAATTTGAATTTGACCTTAGTGCAAAGAGTTGTTTGACATCAAAGTCAATGTAGGGGAGAAAAAAGTAAGGTGTGTTGTATTCATCATTTGAATGTCCCAAGTCCTGTGACATTCATCAAAAACAAATCAAAGAAACAAAATATCTTGTTATATTTTTGAATGTCTGTTAATGAGGTTGAGATTTTATCCTGAAACCTTTGAATAAACTTGCTTGGTGACCATGTCTAACATGGAAGCAAATCAGTGCCTTTGGGAATTTGCGTGAATGTCTTACCTTATAAATCAATAAAACAGCTTTGTATTCATATTAACTAAAAGTCAATATCTTGTGCACTAAATCAGTAGAATCTTACAACTAATTGTTTGCATAAACTGCAAATCTCTGACTTTTTAATCTGTAGCTGCTGTCGATTTACTTAGCAGCGATTTTCAAATTGCAATTGATAGTAGGCCACATTTGTTTACACTTTTTACCACTAGTAAACAGATTCATTTTGGTTCCATTTACATTGTCTTTCTGACTGGGGAAAAATTCTATATTCTTCCACTCCTAACCTAACCCTCCACAACACCGTGCTGAACCCAATCCTTCCAGGGTAGTATTCCAAGGCTTCTGCCAGACGTGGAATTCGTACGTTTGCGAAACAAAACTCCCGCTAGACATCTTGAGCTGATTGCTTTCTCTGCCCACCTTTATAAACAAGTTGGGAAGCCCCCACCACCAGAAAATATTAGATGCAATTCTGGTTTTCAAGGAATGGTGCACAGATATATTGTGCCATCATAATCCTTCCTCCATTATTCCTAGTAATTTCATGTCAATGTAAATGGGATCAATTCTACTGTACTCAAAGAACTAGGGCTGTACAGAACCAATGTAAGTAAAGTTGGGACCATTTCAAGGGCCTGCAAAATAGAGCTTTGCATCAAAATATGTAGAAATGCAATTCTGTGCTTTGGTTGTAGAAGTTATAACAACATGAACAAGATATTCTCATCCTAGAATCCTGACAGTGTGGAAACAGGCCCTTTGGCCCAACTAGTCCACACCAACCCTCAGAGCAGCCACCCAGACCCATCCCCCTGTAACCCACCTAATCTCCACATCCCTGAACACCACAGACAATTTATCATGGCCAATCCACCTACCCTGCACCTCTTTGGACTGTGGGAGGAAACCAGAACACCTGGACGAAACCCACACAGACATGGGGAGAATGTGCAAACTCCACACAGTCACCCAAGACTGGAATTGAACCCAGGTCCCTGGCGCTGTGAGGCAGCAGTGCTAACCACTGTGCCGTCCCACTTTTAGTTAATGTGAATACAAAGCTGTTTTATTAATTCATAAGGTAAGACATTCACACAAATTCCCAAAGTCACTGATTTGCTTCCATGTTAGACATTGTCACCAAGCAAGTTTATTCAAAGGTTGCAGGATAAAATCTCAGTCATTAGCAGACATTCAAAAATATAACAAGATATTTTGTCTCTGTGATTTGTTTTTGATGAAAACCTGGGACGTTCAAAAATGTTGAATAAAATACATAGAAACCTGAAGTTCTTTTCTTATAGATAGTCTAGACTATGTCTTTGAATTATTGTAAACCGAAAGGGCTGATAACATGTACAAATGTCAAAACTGGTTACACAAGCAACTTCAATTCCTGTTTCTTGAACACCACAAGGTGAAATATGAGGATGGTTAAGAAGGAACAAACTGCTCCACAGACACACCACACTCTCATTCCTGTTCATTTAAACTATGTCTAGTCCTTATGTCAGGCAAAGCGCTCCAGGTGCAATCCATGTCAAGACTGTTACCAACTCTATCTGTCCCAGCTCTGAGTCTCTTCCCTCCCCGAACTAATTCACTCATTTTAGAACAAAAACAGAAGATGCTAGAAAAGCTCAACAGGTCTGGCAGCACATGCAAAGAAAATCAAAGTTCATGTTTTGGGTCCAGTGACCCTTCCTCAGGACCTGAAGCATTAACTCTGATTTTTCTTCGCAGATGTTGCCAGACCTGCTGAGCTTTTCCAGCATCTTCTGTTTTTGTTCCTGATTTACAGCATCCACAGTTCTTTCAGTTATATTCACTTATTCTCGAGGTGTCTCTGTTCCATCTCTTCCACCAAATTCTGCATCCGCTGTTCAGTGCCACTTCCTTCTTCATATTAAGATGATTTCAGTTCTACTCTTCTACTCATCTGAAGCTTTTGTGCTGCTACAACATACCTTTTCAATTACATCTCAGCCACACATCAGCTTGCCTGCAAAGATAAGGCCCATGAAATGAAAGACAGTTTGGCAACATAGGTACTGCATAGTTGATTGACATGGTACACAGCAGTGCAACTGGTGAACAGTCACTTCTCAGGCTGCAGGCAATTAAATACCACGGTTCCTCATTGCTACGCACTAGGATCACTGCTGTTCTTAATCCATGTTAATGATCCAGTCATGGGTGTACAGGGCACAATTTCAAAATGTGCAGATGACACAAAATATTCGGAATTGTGAAAAGGATAGTGATAGATATCAAGAAGGCATTCACAGACTGGTGGCAACTAAAATTTAATGCAGAAAAGTGTGAAGAGATTTGTTTTGGTATGAAGACTGCAGAGACAATTGTTGACTATGGCAGGATAAGTTGTGGAGCTGATTAACAGATGGTTCAGAGTCCTTGGCTTTATAAATATATTAAATAGTATACTAAAAGCAAGGAAACGGTAGTGAACCATTTATAAAACATTAGTTGAGAATCAATTGGAGTATCATGTACAATTCTGGGCACCTCACTTTAGGAAGATTGCAAAGATGTTAGATACAGTGCAGAGAAAATTTGCAAGAATAACAGTAATTTGGACATGTTGGTGCTATTCTCTTTCAATGAGTTTGAGAAGAGATTAGATAGAGATATTCAAAATCGTGAGGGATGGTAATGCTATAGATACAGAGAAACTGCACACATTGGCACAAGAATTGAGAACCATAAAGCATCAATTTAATGTGAATGGCAAAAGAACCAAAGGTAGACTTGATGTAAAACTGTTTCACAGCTCAAGTGGTCAGAACCTGGAATGCACTGCGTGAGAACATAGAACAGGCAGGTTCGTTCATAGCATTTCCAAAGATCATTACCTGAAAAGAAATAAATTGCTAGGCTATGAGGCAAGTGCAAGGGAGTAAGAGCGGAGTTGCTGCTGCATGGGTCTAGCAGGGATGTAATGAGCCAAATGGCCTCCTTTTGAGCAAAGCACTCTATGATTTAGTGAAGATACCAAAACCTCACATTGTAAGTCTAATGTGACAGTGGATTGGAGATAAAGATTTGGAAGGTGAAGAGGATGAACTCATTATATTTTGGGGCCATTTGGTTTGCTGCTGCCAGTACATTTCAAAATTTTACTAAAGTAACAGCAGGATCAATACTAATGGAGGAACACAGCTTTTCTCACAAACATGTGCTCCATTTTAGCTCTCACATTGAGGAGCTATCATGCACCCAATGATACACCCATTTCACTCAGAATTTTTCTCTATCACGATAACTCTTCCTTTAACCCTGCGGACAAACTTTATGCTCTCGCCACTTTTCCGATGCCTTGTCCCATTCTCAAAATACATGGGTTTACTGTAATACAGTCAAGCCTCACACTCCTGTGCCTAAATTTATGTTCCCTGTTTAGGTCTCACCCACCTATGTTGCGTATGTCAGTGTGGGACATGTTCACAACTCTAGACCCTTCAACTTCAATTAGTCTTAGAGCATGATATTGGATGTCGTAATCAAATCTGTCCTCATAATTTCTGACTTGGCCCTTAACCCAGTTTCTGAGAAATCCATGTGCAAGTTGGAACCTTTCTGAAAGTTCTCCTTCCCAGCCTGGTGTCTTCTAACTGGCCCAAATCCATTTGTTAATCTTGGTCATTTTTGTTTCTTGCAGCGCATTTGTCACTAAAAATACGAAAGCAACAAACTCAGTGTATTGCTAACAGACAAATAGATACATTAGGAAATATTGTAACAAGAGGGGAGCCAGTGAACAAAAAGAACAATGAAGCAGAGAGTTAGAGGAAGGACAATGAGGAGGGCAACCACTAAGAATTAAGGAGAGGAAAGCCGACAAAGAGAAAGAGGTCACAAAAATAGTGTGGAACACGAGAGAAGAGACCATCAATGTTAATGTCCTTTTGTCTCTGAAACATAAAATATTATGTTTTAAATTTTCATATGTTTTCACATTTACAGTTACACACGCTTCAATTAGTGGACCAGAAGAAAAAGCTGCACAAACGGGAGGATCAGTCAAAATCGAATGCAGATATGACACATATTTTAGCAATTATCAGAAATACTGGTGCAAAGGCTACTACAGGAGAAACTGTAATGTTTTAGTACAAACCAATGGCCCTGAAAGGAAAAGTCATGATGGCAGAATAAAAATTACAGCTGATAATGCAAAAGGACAACTTACAATACAGATGAGCCAGATAACAGAAAATGATAAGGGATGGTACTGGTGTGGAATAGAGAGACCTCACCTTCTGGATTCAATGTCTCCCATACAACTTAAAGTCCATGAAAGTAAGGCATAAATATATGTTTATTTGCTGCATTTTCAGTGATACTTTCGTGTTCAATGCAGGTTCACATAATTTGACGTGTATATATTTGTTATGTATTTGCAAAATCTCTGGGATCCAGCTTTCTCAGTAAAGTATTAGAATTATAATTTGGTTAAGAGTCAAACAGGACAACATTGTAAAACCATGTACTGCATTTTGATTGTTCTAATCAAAATTTCATTCATTGTACCTTGTACATGTACCTTGACACAGTTAACATGAGGCTAATGAATGATCAAATAATATTTTCATACATCATTTTGAACAGGTCGAAAGGGTTATACTAAGGACAAGGAAAGACTAAGGTAAATGACCAATTTATTTGAGCAATGCACCTTGCAGATGGTACAAACAAAAATCACCTGTGTAGAGAAAGCATAGTTAATGCTTAGTCTTGAAACATTAGCTCTATTTTCTGCCATAGATGCTGCCAGAGCAGCTGAGTTTCTCCAGCAATTTCTGTTTTTAATTGTTTCAGACCTCCAGCATCCACAATTCTTTAGTATGTTGTAGATGGTGCAATCTGCTGCCAGTATGCACCAGTGGTGGAGGGATCATTTGGGTTGTGAATGGGGTGCCAATATGCAAGCTGTTTTTTCCCAGATGTGTCGAGATACCGATGTGTTATTTGTGTGAGCTCCACCAATCTAGGCAAGTGAATAAAATACCATCATACTCCTGACTTGTGCCTTGTATACTTTAGAGTCTGATCAATGGTAACACCCAGGTTGGTGATAAGATTTGATGATACACAGATAAAAGAAGTCCCATTGCCAGTAGTTCACACACAGCTTCATCAAGGAAAAGACATTTTTTTTTTCTTTCATACAATATCTCTGTCCTGTACAATTCCAGTTATGTTACATACAGCAATAATATCTAAATAAATATATAAGCTTGATTTTATTTCGTTTTGTGTCCAATGTTGGTATCAGTATCAATATATGTGTGAGCTAGTTTAACTACTTTTTCTAGCCTGTCTTCCATTATGAAAGGGGTGTAGCAAAGATAACTGGAAAGTGAAATTAATGTCTTTTTTTTGTAATAATTTTAAGGTTATTTCTGCTTCTGAGTTTAGATCAAGTTACAGAAGGTGACAGATGTGATCCAATATAGATGAAGGCCAGTTTGCCTATTGTCTTTATGGTGCTGACAACTGGCCTTTATCTAGCTATCTATACTGTTGTCTCTTTACTATTCTGCAGGTCTGGTTAAAAAACAATTGCATATATTGGAAATTAAAATTATAAGTTGGAATAGAGTGTGCAGTGCCAACCCAAGTTTTCAATATGTGCTTCAAGTAGGCAGAGCTGTTTGCCAGGAGCATGAGATAACAAGGTGTAGAGCTGGATGAACACAGCAGGCCAA